AGCTGCATTTCTCTCTCAATAGTATGTCTTATTCTATGGCATTTCTAAGTCAGCATTTCTTATCTCAAAGTTTGCATATGGATGCATACAGTGTGGGCCTTCTGTCAGGCCCCGAAAACTCTGTAAATCTATTTCCCACAGGTGGGATATGGCTACAGGGATATGGAAATATGAAGGGACACACTTAGAGGGATGTGGTATGGGAATACATGGGGATATGGCTACAGGGGTGTGGTCTGTGACGACACAGGGACACTGCTGTGGGCCCAGGGCCATCAGGGTCTCCTGGTCAGAGTGGCCTGCAGAAACATCCCAGCTGTCCTGGCTGAAGGGGCTGTATCTATTGCATCACAGGACCATATGGGGATCACTTGCACTGCAGAGATCACATAAGACAAATTCCAGCCCCATGGACTGTTACAGACCATGTGGGGACCACAGGACATCACAAGGACACATTGAGGCTACTTGGACTGCAGACTGTGGGCAAGAAGACCACAAAGACATGAGACCACTTGGAATGTGTGAAGAAGGAACCTGTAGACACGGTGACTTGGGGCAAATGCAGGACAAGTTTCAGGGGACGCAGTGAGGCACGCCACACACAACAATTCCTCTCTAGGCCTGGGAATCAAGGACACCTCACTACCTCAGGCCCTGAGAGATGGAAACAAAAGTGAGTTGGGGGGAGCAAACTGGGGGTAAATGACTTCATTACCTGAAGCTGTAATTGGAAGATTAACCCCAATATGCAAAAGGACCAAACTTCTAAAAGTTATAAAAGTATGAAAACCTGTGAACCGTTGTCCATTTTGGGTGTAGCCCGTCGGGGACTTCGTCTGCCTGAAATGAACCTGAAGGCACCTCAATAAATATAACTGCTTATTATTCCCTTGGTTTTGTCTGGTCTCTGTTTTTAGGTAGCTCCAAAAAGGCATCAGCATCTCCTTGGAGAACCTCCTTTCAGCCCCACAGCCCCCACTGCAGGCACCTCTTCCTTCTTTCTCCTTGCTGCTGAGTGCGATGGTGTGCAGGTCAGTGCTCCACGGCTTTGACCCCTCTCCAGGCAGATTCCCATTCCTCCGAGACCCCCATCCCTGTGGCCCTCACTCAGAGCTGTGGTGGGACTGCAGATAGCCACGGGCCTCTGCTCCATGTTCCCCTCTGCAGGGTGGGGATGGGTCCTGCAGTGCTGCCAGGAGCGCTGGCCAGCCGGGGACAGAGGGACACAGCTGCTGCTGCGCCCGAGGATGGCCTTGTGCTCACAGGGAAGGCTGGGGAAGAGACAAGGGGATGTGTGGGTGATGAATTTGTCCTCCCAAGATGCTGTAACCGTGATGGAGCAGGCTGTCCTGGAGATGGCTGGATGGGTGGATGGCTCCCCTGCCAGTGGGAGGTGGGGAATGAACCCCTTGCTTTGCTTTTCTTCCATGTGCAGCTTTTTATTCCCTTATTAAACACCTTTATCTCAAACCACAAGGGGTTTTTTTTCACTTTGACCATTTGATTCTCTCTGCCATCCCACCAGGTATCATGTGTGAGGCTCAGTTGTTGTCCAGGATTATACCATGACAGAAGGCAAGTAAAATTAGTCCTTCCCTTTATAGGTGCAATAAAACTGACCCTTCTCTTCCCTGCTTTTTCTCATGTGCTGGGCTGAGAGGTGGACAGAGCAAGCTGAGGCACCTCCTGGGCTGTCTGGAGCAGTTTTGCATGTCTGGAGCAAAGTCTTCCTTGTGGTTCTCTCTGGATGTAGCACAGCCAGGACAAACAACAATGTTCAGAGACGAGGGACAGGGAGGGATCTAACTAGATATTTATTCTCCAGCATCTTGGCTCTCAGAATTAAGGCAACATTTGAAAAATTGAAACTGAAAATGAAGGGCAAAAATAGGCAGATCATAAGAAAAGGAAGTAAAACCCAAAACAAGTCTGATACTATAATTTTTTTTTTCTTTTTTGGAAAATACAGGTTCACTGAAAAACCAATAACACCTGCTTGTAAGAAAGAATCACTTCTTATTATTCTGAACTGATCTGAAACAACTCAGATGGAAAAAACATTTTCCTGGTGGTATTTTCAAGAATATTTTACTGTTTTATAATTCAAGATGATGCTTTTATCGCAGTATTTGAATTAATGCATAGTTTTAAGTGTGAAAAATTGACCAAAAAAAGAAGATAAAAATATAATTTACATTAAATATTTTTAAAATGCGGCCTCTGGGGAGGGAGGCTGCAGTCCCCTGCAAGGTGCAGGGGTGGAGGAGACCTGGGATGTTTGGGCAGAGAGTGATAGAGACTGTGCTGGCTTGAAATTTGATATCCTGTGCTGGCACCATGGCCGGGAGAAGAAGGAGGGAGCAAGGTGCCCAGCCAAGGGCAGACCGGGCTGAGGTTTTAACTCCGTTGGTACTGAGATAATGGAAGCTCTAAAAACACTGATCCTCCCTGGCTGAGAATTGAGAGGGGATGGAGGATGGGCAAATGAGAAGAAGGCTTGAGTGGGTGAAGAAATGCCAGCAGATAAGAAGCGCCCTAGATGGAGGAGATGATTTGGAGTGGCTTTTTGGCTGGACTTTCCTCTTACATGGCCACGGGACGGAACCAAATCTTCCTGTAATGTAGAGACTGCACCTTGGGGGAGGCGGTCGGCCAGAAGCCAGGAGTGACAAAGCCGTAGTGAGAAGCAATAGAGGGAGCAGAGACTGATGAGGAGGGTGTGGTGGAGCCCTCTGCCTTCAGTGAAGGATCTCTGTTCATGAGACCCCCAGGCCCCAGGGGTGAAATATGGGGGGGACAGGTGTCCCAAATGGTGAGAGGTGAAGCAGTGGCAAGAACAGAGATGGCTGAGACGGGTGGGGGATGCTCTCTGTCTTCAGAGAAGAGGAAGACCTCTGTTCACGAGGCCCCCAGGCCCCAGGGGGTGAAGGGGTGGGGGGAGGAAGAGTGTTTTGGAGGTGTTCCATTGTGGATTGTTGTGTGTCGTTGGTTTTTTTTCCTCCTTTTTTCCCCCCCTTTTTTTTCCTTTTGTCTCTATGTTGTAGATTAATAAAGTGTTGTCTTTTTCCCTCCATTCCCAAGTTGGAGCCTGCTTTGTTCTGTTTCCAGGTCACATCTCACAGTAACCATTTTGGAAATACACCTTTCATGGGGGCACTGGCATTGTGCCAGGGACAAACCATGATATTTGTCTTGTTGAACAGCATTATTTCCCAAGTTTTTGGCTTTTTTTAATCACAGTTCTAAAAGTTGTGTGACAAGTAAAAAGCATTTGTGGCTTAGCTTAATAGTTAAAATCTAAAAATATCTGTGGCACAAATTATAGTCATCATTGCACGTTGTGTGTCGAATTTTGGGTGTGCTTCAGTGAACTGTGGGTTGATGCTGCTTGCCTTGGGAGCCCAAGTTTGCTGCCTCTCTTCAGCAGAGGCAGGTCTAGAAGGCTGTGAGGTCTGCCCTGACATTTCTAAAGCCACCTTTCCTGGGAAGTCTGCTGCAGGCTGGTTCTTGCTGCTCTCTGGCCTCGGCACTGGGAGCACGGCTGCACGCTCACCTGGTGGTGTGTGAACAGGCAGACAGAGTTGTTTCATGCTTGGCTTGTCTGAAGATGTTTCTGCATTGTTGAGAGGTTGTGATTAAGACCTCCACTGACAGCCAGGGAGAATCCAGGTGGGAAGAGACATCCAAGGCCTGCAGGGCTGTCAGGAGACATGGCTCAGGTGCTACAAACAGGCTGGCCCACCAATGAGCAGGTGGAAGATCATTGCTGGAGTCTGCTTTGCTGACTGGGGCCACTGCAGCAGTTGCTGGATTTTGGCAGCAGGGATGGTTTCTCGTGATATTTGCATGGTTTGGAACCAGCTTGTATTTTTTATCCTTCCCTGGTTTTTTTTCTAGTATGGACATACTTCTGCTCTAGCCAGTGACTTGAGGCTGCAGAATTAAACTGGAGAAGGTTTAAACTGAAAGGAAAATGTTGTGTGACAATGGTTTCCTTCAGGGCCAAAAAAAGAAGAACCTACTGATTCACATATTTGTGCTGTAGCCTTGATGATCCTGATGGCTCCCTTCCAAGTCAGCATATTCTGTGATTCTGAGGTGAGAATGTCCAATGGTAGAAAGGGCTAAACTGGCTGGGATCATGAGTGCTGGGGATATTGACTCCTGTCAGAGGGTGACATCCTCATCTCGTAGGCAATGCAGTTGCTGAGGAGCCACCTTTGGGCAGTAGAGGAAGGTGTAGCTGCAGCTGGGAGTGAACCCCAGATCACAGGGGATTTCTTTGGAGTTGCTGAAATGGATATGAGGAATTGTCTCCAGCCACATCTTTCCATACTGCCTGTAGAACTGTTTATGGTAGTGGGACTCTGACAGTACATTGTTCATTAAAGCTTTTGCTATTTAAGCTCAAATGTGCTTGCAGGGATACAATAGGGGGCACATCCTGTTGGTGCTGTTTGTGGGAGGCCCTGTGTGCCTGTCCAGACCTGTGGGACTGGCTGTGTGTGTGTGTGACCCACCTGTCCTCTGGGGACTCACAACTGCTTGGAGTTGGGGCCTTGGAGCTGTGGCAGCCTCCTCCCTCTCAGGCTGCTGGATCAGGCAGCTCCCTGGTGGTGATGGAGGGGGAAAGCTCTTTCCATGGTCCCATGCTCTGGATGTGAACCCCAAGGTCGGTCTCAGGCCGAGGGATGTGAGAAAAGGCTCTGGAGAGAGGGCAAGGATTCCAGCATGCCCATGGATGGGCCCATGGTGATGCCACCAACATCATCCTGAACAGTGGGAGCCAGGCCAGAGCCACAGAATGGCCAGGGCTTGTTCTCCACTGGGCACTGGTGAGCCCAGAGCAGTTTGGTGTGGCCAGTGGGGGCTGTGGGGCTGAAAGGAGGTTCTCCAAGGAGATGCTGATGCCTTTTTGGAGCTACCTAAAAACAGAGACCAGACAAAACCAAGGGAATAATAAGCAGTTATATTTATTGAAGGTCCTTCAGGTTCATTTCAGGCAGACAAAGTCCCCCAGGGGCTACACCCAAAATGGACAACGGTTCACAGGTTTTCATACTTTTATAACTTTTAGAAGTTTGGTCCTTTTGCATATTGGGGTTAATCTTCCAATTACAGCTTCAGGTAATGAAGTCATTTACCCCCAGTTTGCTCCCCCCTACTCACTTTTGTTTCCATCTCTCAGGGACGGAGGTAGTGAGGTGTCCTTGGTTATACACTAAAGAATTGCAGGATTACAAATATATGAAAAATATAAAAGTTAAAATACTAAGTCATCAATGCCAAGAATCAGCTGAGGCTGGGGGAAGCAAAGGGTGGTTAGACATGGTTAGACAGGAGAGAGAGCCAGAGAAGGTGCCCAGAACAGGAAGAGGCCATAGGGTACCCTGCTGGCAAAACTTCTCCTTGCCCATGGAATCTCCAAGGGAGACCAAAAGGGCTGAAGGGGGAGGAAAGGAAAGGGTAGAAAAGGGTCTGGAAGAAGTATAGCTTTGCCTTTTTCCCCTGGTTTACACCCATATAACCCCCCACCCAGCCCTGAGCCTCCCCTGTTTTTCCTGAGGGGTCAGTTGTGGCAGAGGTTGCAGACAGAGGGGACAGGATGTGCTGCCTGCAGCCCACAGGAGGGCAGGGAGCTACCAACGCTGCCACCTTCAGAGCAGGACTCCTGGACAAGCTGTACATGTCCCACACAGCCCCGGTGCCAGAACTCATCCATTCCCTTCTCCCACATCCAGAGGTGCAAGTGACTTTCTCTGTTTCATTAGCCCTTCATTATTGTCAAAGGGAGCTCTGTCTATGTCTCTGGCCAACCCGGAGAAGATGCAGCTGAGGTGCACCTGGGTCCAGGTGTGGGTGCAAGGGAGCAGCTGTCTGCAGTAAGGACCATCAGTTGCTCCAGTGTGGGACTGGGGGGTTTGGATGGATGAGGAGTGGCACCAGCCCTGTGGGGTGCACCCAGACCTGCAGGTAGGAGGTGTTGCTGCCCCTCCGGCAAAGACAGACCCTGTAACCCAGGAAAAGGCCAAAAAGGAAGTCAGGTTCCTTCCCTCTTATTTAATTCTGCTGAGCCACCAAACTTGTGGGCTTGTGGTTGCAAAACAACTCCCAGTTTCATAAGACCGAGAAGAAGTCATTTCACCATCAAGTGACCGGATCTAAGAAAGAGAAACAAAAAGTCCTGATAGCCTTTCCCAGGTCTGCCGGACCCTAGGACCTAAGTTGTCACAGGGGCCCAGACCTGGGCATGTGACTGGACATTGTGGTTCCAGTTCAACCATCCCAGCCCTGCAGTCGTGCTGCAGAAACCCAAGCCGTGGGACAGAAGGCGGCTTGTGACAACGAGTTTGTCTCAGGAGCCACAAGAAGCCACGCAGCTGCTCGGTGCCTCTGGACAACGCTTTCCTCTGAAGAAGCCCTGCTTGAGCCAAATACAGAGGGAGCCAAGAGGGACGTGATGCTGCCTGTGACCCATGTGCTGGCCTTGGGTGAGTGCCAGAGGCTGTGGGGATTCCCAGAGGGCGACAGGAGGTGTCCAGACACTCCACGGAGATGTTACACAGCTGCTTCTCTTGCAGGCGCTTGGCTGGTGTCACAGGGCGAGGCTGCACCGAGTGAGTATCTTGAGGAGGTAGATGGGGAGTTTGGACACATTTCTGGGCCCACCCATCTCCCTCCACACCCCTCTGGAACAAAATTCACCCTTGTGTGGAGACGGGGCCTGGAGACAGCCCCGGGCTCATAGCAGGGCAGCTGCTGGAGCCTCCCTGTCTGGCTGGCTGCATCTCTCTTCCTGTGCAGGTGGCCCCACAATCTCCATCTTCCTGAAGCCACCTGGGGTGATCCCACCTGGAGGCTCCACCACCATCTGCTGCGTTTGCCAGTGCAGCTATGGGACCTTTGTGCTGTACAAGGGCAGCCGCCAGCTCCACACCCTGGAGCAGAGTGGCAGCAGGGCCGAGTTCTCCATCTCTAATGCCACCTACGAGGACAGAGGTAGCTACATCTGCCATTACCTGGAGGGAGACACTGTGCTGGCTCGAAGTACCGAACTGGAAGTCTTTGTGGAAGGTGAGGGATGTGCTGTTTTCCCTCCTGGGCAGTCACACACCCCAGGGGCACACCAGGATGCCCGTGGCCATTTCCATGATGGACAGGGTTTTTCTCTTCTTCCCTGGCTTGGAGGGGTGGGGACCATCTTCACCTCTGCCTGAGCCAGCTGGTGGCTTCACAGAGATCCTGGTGCTCCTGGCACCACATCAAAGCCCTCTGCAACTTCTCATTCCCTCTCCTGTCCCCGCAGAGCTCCGTCTGCCCAGCCCCGAGCTCTCTGTCCTGCCTGGGCACGAGGTGACGGCGGGAGCTGAGGTGATGTTCCGCTGCACCCCCACACACCCCAGCACCGGCTGCTTCCTGTACCTGGAGGGCCAGATCCGAGCCCAGCTGCTCCCCAGGGAACGAGGTGACTACAACCTCTCCCTGGTGCAGGAAGGTGACAGCGGCCGCTACAGCTGCCAGTGCTACACCCTCAATGCTTCCAGAGAATGGTCTGCTGTCAGCAACAGCCTGGACTTGGTGGTGAGAGGTGAGACATGCCCCCAGCCACATCCTGCTCCACTCTTCCTCCCAGCAATCTGTCACACCCTGGGGGAGCTAGAAAATTATTTAGGGCAGGAAAGCAGCTGTATGAGGGGACCAAGCGAGGAGTTCCAGCTTCCTTCACCTGTGTTTGAGCCTGGCCAGCTCCTCAGAGAACCTATAGATGACCTAGAGACCAGGGTTGCTGGGCTGACAGGTGGGGATAAGAGGGTATAAGGGATGCAGAGGACACCTCTCCCTGCACCTCCCAGCCCCAGAGACAGTCATATGTGCTGTCACAGCTCAGTGTCACCATCTCACTGGCAGTGGCATCTGAGGGCCCGCTCCATGTTTCTTCCCTCCTTTCCATCTTTGGGGCCATTTGGTGGGGTCACAGGTGAGAGGCTGTGAGTAGGGGGTGTACCAGGGGACAGGGATGTGGGAGGTGCAGCTGGGGGCCTCCTCGGGGCTCCCTTTGCTCCCTATGAATTCCCCTTTGTGTTTCTTTCGCCGAGGACCTCCCTGGGTGCCCCCTTGGATCCCCTGTTGCCCCTGTGGGATCTCGCGGTGGGTTCCTCGCAGTGACGGTCCCTCCTGTCCCTGCAGATTACACGCTGTGCAACACCGTGCGGCTGGCGGGGGCGGCCGGGCTGCTGCTGCTGCTGGGGCTGCTCGGGGCCGAGGCGGCGCGGAGCCGCCGGGGCGGCCGGAGCCGCTCACTGCCCTGCAGCCACCCGCGCTACCGGGAATAAACCGCGCCTGTCGCCATCCCCGGCCTGCTTCCTGTCCCAGTCGCGGTCCCGCTCCGGTCCCGGCTGCCTCGGGGGTCCCGCGGGGCGGGCGGGCGGCGCAACACCCGGGAACAGGCAGGGAGCGGGCTTGCACCCCGGGGGGGGTGACCGCTGCACTGACCATTGCACTGACCATTGCACTGAACCTGCACTGACCACTGCACTGACCACTGCACTGACCGCTGCATTGACCACTGCACTGACTGCTCCTGCTGGGCACTGACCGCTGCATTGATCCCCTGGCCACGCAGTGACTGCTGCACTGACTGCTCTTTCTGCACAGTGACCACTCCACTGACCACTCCTGCCACGCAGCCACTGCTCCAGCCATGTTGTGCCCACTCCTGCTGCACACTCACCACCCCACTGACCTCACCTGCTGCACAGTGCCCATGCTGGCCATGCAGCGAGTGCACCCATGCAGTGAGCAGCACACTGACCTCTCCCAGCACGCAGTGACTGCTCCTGCTACCCCACTGCACACTGACTGCTCCCACTGCCCTGCAGCAGTGACTGCTCCAGCCCTGCCGTGACCGCTCCCGCAGCACAGTGACCACTCCTGCTTCACAGGCCTCTGTTGCTCACATTCGTTTATTATTTTAAAACACTGACAAAACACATCACACCATCATCTATATATATAAATTTACCTTTGTACCAATATAAATTTATATATATAGAGCCTTTAAATCTCTGTACATTCAGGACACACAGTTCCAGAATAGCTGCACTGGCTACAACAGAAGGATTTTCATTATGAAAACACAGAGAGGAGGCGCCGATATCAAAAACACACAAAAAAAAGAAATTAAGAAAGAGTGCAAAATGAATGAAAGTGCAAAAAAGCTTTTGTTGTCATAATCACACTCCCTCCACAATACGGTCCCCATTCTCCCTCCGAGTACAAGTGAGCCTCAAGCCCCAGAGGGAAGGGCTAGGCTGGAGGAAGGGAGCCAAGCTGCAGCCCTGTCTTTCCCTCTCTGCATCGAGGAGTCCTCCTGGAGGATGAGGAGTGAGGAACCCGAGCGGCAAAGTCACACTCCTCTCCTGGCTCCCTCTTCCAACCTCATCGCACCCACGGGCCCAGATGTGTCCCTGTGGGCAGCAGCTGCCAAAAGCCCCCAGCCCTCCCAGACCAGTGCAGGCTGCTTTTCTCTTCTGACAGTGCTTGTGATTGCCACGGAGAGCAGCAGAGGCAGGCGAGGGCGGGCAGCTGTGCTCTGGTGGGGCAGGCACAGCCGCCCTCCCTGCTGAGCTCCAGGCTCTCATGGAAATGGAGACCTTGGCTCACACTGTCCCAGTGCTGCCCATTTCCACTGGCAGGAGGAAACAGTTTCCCAAGAGGCTGCAACTGCTCCCACACACCCAGAATCAGCCACAGACCAGCCCCCCAAGGGGACACCCCATAGCTGAGGCTGGAGCACGTAGTGGGACTTCTCTCATGTCTCAACACCAGCTGCAGGGGCAAGAATGGCAGAAACACAGACTTGGGGACCTCCACTCAGAAAAACATTCAACTTGAAGAATTCTTCATTGACTTAGAAAAGCTGGCTGCAGCCACAACCCTCAGAAAGGCTCCAGAGAACCTGTGAGCCAGACCCAGCCCACTGTCCTCTCTGGCTTCTTAGTGACACAGCAGTAAATGTCCCTGTGAGGAATCTGGTCAGGCAGCAGGGGAAGGACAGAAAACTTTGGTGCTTCTGCCTCGGTCACAGCTGTCCTTAACAGTCCCTGAGGGGGGACTTCCACTCAGTGCTCTGTGGGGTTGGAGGACCTACCAAGGCCAGGGGTGCAGCAAACTCCTTCTTGCTGCGACCAGGGCCTCCTTGCTGGGATCCGGGACAACTGCTCACAGAGGACACGTCACATGAAACCCTGGGATGGGTGTCTGCTGCCTCCACAGCCCCAGAGACCCCCACCCTAAAACAGCAACACATCAACAGCAGGGGAATGGTATCATGGTACTCCCACAATCACCCATCCACACGTACACGATGCTTTGGGTTTGGTTTTAAAGGACACAGAAGGTTATAAGTTTTAACAGTAAATAGCCCTTGACCACCTACAAACCCTGTAACTCCCTCACCCAGATAAATCCAGCAGCTTTGTGCCCCAACAGCCAGAGAGGCTGAGGAAGTGATGCTCAATCCAGCAGGTGTGACACACCTGCCAGCTCCCCCCACCCTTCCAGTGGGACTGGTGCCCCTGACAGCTGCTCCCAGCACAGAGCTCACCCAGTGGGGAGCTGGGCTCCAGCTCTGCAGCCGGACCCCCAGACAAGGGGCAGCACCCTGGCAGTCCAGTCCAGGTCATGTCTGTTTTCAAGAGGGAGGTGAGGAGAGGCCAGGGCAGGTGGTGCTGTGGCTGGCACACTGTGGGGATGCACCTCAGCCTGTGGGGCTGGTGCCCAGGCAGAGCAGGGCTTGGCTGCACCCAGCAGCACAGCCAGAGCCAGTGGTGCTGGTTGAACCCAGCCCTGGAGGGCAGCCAGGGCTTGGCTCATGGCTCCTCTTCCCTTTCTGAGCTCCTCACCACCTCTGCTCTCATAGACAGCCCTGTGAGACACAAGCCTCTCCCTCCTTCACAGTAGCTTCAGATCTGATGCCTGGGCAGCAGCTCCTCTCCTAGCACCCTGGAATGGTGCTCATTCCCTTCCCCAGCAGGAGAAATGATTTCACATGTGGCAATACAGCAGATGAGAACAGAATACTTTCCTAAGATGGGTCCTTGCAATCTCAAGGGCTGTGTCCAGTGTGAGAGAGCCTTTTCATTCCAGACCACACCTGGAAAAGTCTCAGCACCATTCACAGCCTGGGCTGAAGGTCCCAGGCCTCGTCCTCTTCTGCCCCAGCACACAGTTGCCCAGAAAGAGACTGTCCATCAGCTGAAGAGACCAACCTCCACACCACCTCCTGCAGATGTAGGGTGGCTCAGAGAGTGACTCTGGGACCCAGGGACACAGCTGCTCCTTCCCACTCCCTCTCTGCACAGCTGGCCACACTGCAGTGCTTGAAAAGATACAAGGACATTAAAAAAGAAAGGAGAAGGAAAGCTGCCTAGATCAAACCCAAGCAATGACAAAACGAAGGCATGGACAAGTTGCAAGTCCTGTGGGAAGAGCAAGCAGCAGACGTTTCAAGGGCAGGTCAAACCTGACCCCAAATATTGAATAACAGAGTCAAAATGCTACATTTCCATGGGAAGCCTCAAACAGGTTGACCCAGATGTGACAGTAGCTCCCAAGGCAGCGCAGCTCCAGGACACATTGCTGGTGCACTTGCTCACACCTCTGCATCCCTGTCTTTGGGCACTGGGAAAGGGGGGAAGTTGTTTTATTACTGGAATGTCATTGTTGGGAATGGGAAATGAAGTGGACCTGGGACTGGGTCCCTGGGCAGATGGCCATCTGGGCAGGTGGCCATCCTCCAGCACTGCATGGCCAGCCCCTGCTCCGACAGCTCCCACAGAGGTGTGCCAGGGTGATGGACCACAGAGAGCAGTGTGGGGACTGCCAGGAGGCACAGGGGCCTATCAGAAGCTGCTGGGCTCTGCCAGGACCCCCAGGAATGTTGGCTTTTCTGGCTCTGCAGCCCTTTGGTCCCTCCTCCATCACAAGGGACAGTGTTACATGAGCATTCCCAAACTGCCTGTGGCCCTGTTGGAAAGGTGCTGTGCTCTGAAAAGGACAGAAACAAACCAGCTAAGTGCTGGATTTCTTTGAGCTCTGCAAGTAAGGGATCCAGGGACAGCAGAAGATCCTGCTCTTCAGACAGCAAAACCCAGGTGCCTTGTGAGGGCAAAGAGTGGGGAGAAGGCAGCTTGGCAGAATTGACTCAGCCAACTCAGGAACCCCTTGCAAAGCAACTGTGGATCTGCCTATTGGAGCAATGGATGCTTCTTGTCCTCGGCAGCTGTCCCCACCCTAGAGAGGGCCTTGCTCCTAATACAAGGACCAAGGAGGGCACAACTTCCTTTGTAGAGGACTCTTTAATAGGTGGAAGGGGAACAAGCTATCCAAGGATCCTTTCTCCCAGAGAAGTGCTGGACAAAACAGTCTGAAGTGCAAGAAGAAATGGAGCCTTTTCTGCACCCAGCCAGCCCTGGCCTGGCAGGGCCCTGGGGCTGCTGAATTCCAGGAAAGAGGAAGAAAGCACAGACGCTGGTCATGGGCAGAGCAGCTGTCAGAACAGCTGCTCCCTGAAGGGGCAAGAGGTGGCCACTGGTTTGCAGTGCAGTGCAGGGGCAAAGCAGTCATCAACTGGCCTTAAAAAGGGAAAAAGAATTCAGAGATAAAGGCAAAATGAGCAGAAGCTCCTCAAGAATGTCCCTTGGAAATGGTGTAGCACAAGTACCCCCAGAGGATCACGCAGAGGGAAAAACCCCAGATCTCTCCCAGCTGCTGAGCAAGGGCGAGAGCAGCCTTTAAGTGGGTGTGAGCATGGACGCAGGCAGGCAGTCCCTCCCCTGCCTGGGTGACTCGAGCAGCTGCCAGCCCCCACTGTGACACCCTCCACAGTGCTCCCCAGCCCTCAGCACCCCTGACCCGGGGCACAGGGTCACAGGGACCCAGGCACAGCAGCACACAGTGGGGGCAGCTGTGGCACCAAGATGGGCCAGTGCCACCTCCACCCTCCTTCCCTGCAACCGCCCCCGAGGCCTGCGGCTGCACAGGGCAGCGTGCAAGGAACAGGATGGGAGGTGGACTGGTGGGACAGGGGACGCGTGGCACCCGGGAGGACACGAGCAGGACGTGACAAGCTGCGTTCGGCTGGGGGAATCTCTGTCCTGACCAGACAGTTTGGCAGCACCAGTGATGAGGGAGGGTCCCGGCTGGGCCAAGAGAAGTCACTTTAAGGTGTCATCGGCGTTCTTGAACATGAGGATGGCATTGTAGATCTTGAGCGCTGGGCCCAGCTTGACACTCATAATCTTGACGATGTCAG